TATTTCAGAATATATATTTTATTTCAAAATACAAAGGTATGTGCTCAGAGCCAGAGTTTACATGGACACCAAAGAAGTCTCTCTTTGCAAAATTCATATACAAATACACATTTACCTACAGGCCAGAGAACTCTGCCTAGAGGAGCAACTTTATCATCTAACTTTTAACAATGCGGTACATAAAACCTAATTTTAATCTAAGCAGTAATTATTGATGTTACTACATTTTTGTTCTGCCAAAATGTAGTTTGTTTCCATTCCTACTATAAAGCAAATGCAAACAGATGAAATGATGGTAGGAAGTGAACTTCTATTCTGAGCCTGCATTAAACCTGGCACCAGATACAACTATTAGAAACTAGTATAACTGAAAATTGTTAATCAAGACTAGAAGTTATGTTAAATGCTACTCCTTATAAACAACACTGGCAATTTACAACCACAAGTGTAGCATCATACCCTCAACAAATAGGTAATGTTCAGTGGTTACCTGTTACTCTACATACTAGCAGACCCTACATGATCTCCCCCACTTCTACACAAGAACTGAGCCACCCCTTCAGTGTACATGAATACACACACTCTCAAACCCTCTATCCTGTGCAGTGCAGACATACAAGTCCCTCCTTTCACGTCTCAGAATTGGGGCAGTACGGATCAGGAGCACTCCTCCCATCAAATGAAGTAGGGCTTCTCTGACCAACCCTGTCAGCCAGCACTTGTGTGCTCTTCCCCAATTCCTCAGGCAGAAGAACCAAGCAGCTGCCTTACTACCCTGACATCGCTGCCTATTAGCCAATACACAAGCCCCTGTGCCCAAAAAGCCAAGCCCACCACAATCGTTTGTGGCCATTCCGACAGCCGACTCCCACAAATCCCTCAAAAAGATGGTATTGTGGCCAGCTCCACAGTCGTATCTGTGCGTGCTCCTACCCCCAACACACACTGTGCATGCCCCACTGTCTGTGCCCTCTCCGCCCCACCAGCCCTGAAATCTGCTCTTTCCATAAGGCATCATTATCTATGCCAGGGCCACGATATCTGCCCCCCAAACACAGCCAGTGCCTGGGGGCAGCACAAGCCCCATTGCTCAGAGACCTGCATCCAGCCCACACCTCGCCTATTTTCCCCCCTGCCCATCTTTTGCCCAGAGACCCACCTCCAGCCCTACCCTTCCCCTCTTCTTCCCCCCCCCCATCGCCCAGAGATCTGTGCCCAGTCCTTCACCTCCCCCCCGATCGCCCAGAGATCTGTGCCCAGTCCTGCACCTCATCTACTCTCCACTCCCAACCTCATCCCTCTTCTCCCCATTCCTGCATCTCAACTCTTCTCTCCCCATCCCACCTCCCATAGACCTGTGCTTGGCCTGGCACCTCGCTTGTTCTTCCTCCTAACCATTGCCCAGAGACCTGTTCCAGGCCCCACACCTTGCC